TGGGATAAAGAAGATAGGCAACAGGAATCACACTTCATCCACCATTCTACTTTCTGTCTCTATGATTTTGACAACTGAGTACTTCATGTAAGTGGACTCATACTGCATTTCTCTTTTTCACTTAGCATAATGTCCTCAAAGTTCATCCATGTTGTAGCAGTGTCAGAATGTCCTACTTTTTAAGGCTGAATAGCATCCCATTGTATGTACGTAATGCATTTTGTTTATACATTTATCTACTGATGCCCACTTGGGGTGCTTCCACATTTTAGCTAATGTGAATCATGTTGCTAGGAATACAGAGATCCAGACATCTGTTCCAGTCTCTGCTTTCAGATTTTGGGGGTGTATCACAAGAAGTGGAATTGCTGGTCATGTAGTAATTCTATTTTTAGTTTTCTGAGGAACTGCCACATCGTTTTCTTTGGTGGCTGCACTGTTTTACACTCATACCAGTGGTGCACAGGACCTTCCATTTCCACACATCCTTGTCAACACGCGTTCGTTGGGGCCGGTTATAGGTCCATCCAGATTTTCTACGTGTTCGCGATTTGGTCTTGGTGGGTTTAATGTTTCTAGGAGTGTGTCCATCTCATCTAGGTAATCCAGCTTGTTGGCATCCGATTGTTTACAGTACTCCTAATTCTTTTGATTTCTGTTGAATCGGCAATAAGGTCTCCACTTTCATTTCTGATCTTAGTTATGTAAATGTTCTTTTTATTAGTCCAACTAAAGGTTTGTCAGTATTGATCTTTGTGAAGAACCAACTTTTGCTTTGGTTGATTTTCTCTTTTCTTTTTCTAATCTTTCTACCATTTGTGCTCTAGTCTTCATTTTTGTTCTCTCCTTCTGCTAGTTTTAGGTTTGGTTTATTGACTTTGGTTGTAAAGCTAGGTTGTTGATTTAAGTTCTTTTTTGATGTGTTTGTAGCTATAAATTCTCTGCTTAAGCACTGCTGCATCCCATAAGTTTTTGTATATTGTTTTTCATATTCTTGGTCATCATAAAAAACCTAGACAGCAACTTTTTCTTTTTTCAATACTTGTGGTGTCCAACAGGACTTGAGAGAGCAGCTAGTCCGGACTGTCACAGGGATTCCTTTCATGTAAACCAGGGCCCTACTCCCAATACTTGGGGCAAAAGGAATGTATGAGAAAAGTTCTGAGGGCTCAAATTTCACTAAAGAATTTACTGTATTCTAATTTTTAAAAACTTTTTATAAAAAAATCATTTCATCTCATTTGACTTATTTTTCAACATTTAGAGAACATTAATTCTGTAACAAAAATTCATAACTTAGAGTGTTGTTTGTTCTTTTTAAAGCCTCCAGTTAAGTTCCTATCAACAGTTCTTGGCAAAAGTAATCTTCAGTTTTCGGGAATGAATATAAAACTGACCATCTCAACATGCAGCCTCACACTGATGAATCTTGACAACCAACAGGTAAGATCATGGATGTCATTTATAGATTAACATATTATCTATTTCTCTGGAGGAGCCTGGGCATAATAAAGAAAATAAGTTTCAGACAGACTATACCTAATTTACTAAGGCAGAGGGGAAAAAACCTGCAAAGGATGTATACATAACAAAAATTAGAACAGCGTTTCTAGCCCATCACAGGGCCATTTGACGGCTTGCAGACCTTCCCTTTACCTAACTAACTTTGCAATAAGAACCAAGGTGCAAAGAATATAGCAAATATCATTTGGCCACTTCTATCCTTGAATCAGTCATTTGTTCCTCTCCACCAGCCCTCTCTGAAGAAAAAGCAATTTCATTACCAGAATTAAGGACACAGGAGGGTGATATCAGGGTTAATGTTCTAGCTAAATGAAATCTAAGCAGAAAATATTTTCTTACAACTCTTGAGGTTGAAAGCTTTTAAAAATGTTATTGTAGAAACATGACTTTCTCATCTTTGATGGTTTATGATACTACGGTTTGCCTGAGTTTTCACTGTTAACCTTATTTCTCAAAAAACAGCACTGCTGACGCACACAGGCACTGGACTGTGTACCTGCAAATAGGACGCGTTTGACCCGCTTTTTACTTTTTAAACGAACTTCCTGTATCAGCTTATTTATGTGGGTTAGTCTAGTTTTTCTCTAATTTGCAGTGATTTGAGATTTTTAATATCTAAGTTTTACTGTACAGAGCGCTGTTGATCAGGGACTCATGGAAGGTTTAATGTGTACTGGGCATGCTAAAACAGTGAGATTTTGAGGTCACACATGGGTTGAAATCCTGGCTTTGCTATGAATGAGCAAGCCACCCTACCACTGAATTTTCCTCATCAGTGAAATGAGGGTTACAGGACCTATTCATAGAGTTTCTGAGGGGATGGACTTAGCCACTGTATATCTCACAGGGTTACTTAGAGGATGAAGTAGTATCATGGATGTAAATCACTCAGCACAGTGCCAGTCATATGATACCCATTATCATTATTATTTACTCCAACATTCTTTGAGACCTTTTCATATACTCAGTACTTAACAGGGGAAACATACTATATAAAATTACAGAATTGTCAGTAATATATAAGTATAGTTATATAGATTTTGACTTTCATTTTTTGCCAAAAAATTCAACTGCGGTTTTGAGGGCTGCTTTATTCTCTAATTGCAAAAGCAGAATAAAATATATTGATTACACAGTAGTACAAATCATCATAGAGGAAAGTGCTTAACATGAAACAGGTCACAATAGATTTCTGTCCAGTTGGGTCCTCATTGGTTATTTGAGAGGAGCTATCACTGGTACGATGACAGGAGAACATTTGGGGCTGTACTTAAAAGATGCGATGTACCAGGGTAGAAGGTGAAACATTCCTTCAGTATTTCAGATGCTTTGCCTTCAAGACATTTGTCGATTTAAAATTTATGTTTAGTTTTCACCCATGGGTATGGTACCAGCAATGCTTAATCCTTTTAGTTATGAGATGTCATTGAACATGGGAACCCTCGAATTATTTGAGTATTGTAGGGAAGGAGGAAGAGCTGGAGCCCATGTGGCAATGGCCTTATGTGTAGAATCTAATGAGCATTTCAAAAACTGGCTTTTTTTCCACAGTGTGCCTACGGAATGGGGAATTTAGGAATAATAGGGTTGTGGTGGGTATAGTTTACTCTCAGAATTTCTTTTACCTCCACTACCTTTTCCCCCAGATCACTGCTATTAGATGTGGTATTGCCACTCACCTGTAATCGTTCTGGCAGGACAGAAGGAGGGACGGTGGGCTTGGGGGGCTTCTGCTACTGGTAGTTGTAGCAATGAGGTGCCTTTGGGAATGCTTCACACCTTTTCTTCACTGGTGACATGGAATGGGGTTGTGATCAGCTCACTGCTGGAATGGGGACTAAAATTAGGATCTCACTGATACAGAGTAGTTGAAATAATTTTAAAGTATTCGGCAGGCCTGGGAGAAATGGTGTTGGGGGAGGTGTACAAAAAGATGCGCCACACTCCAGATGCTTAAACTCAAGAGGCTTTATACGTTCCATCAAAAGGGCAACTGAAGGGTTTGAAGGATGAAGGCAGCAGAGAAGCGACTTTATGAAGTAGCGTGAGCAAAGGATAATTCATTATATTCTTCTTAAAAAAAGGGACCATTTGAAGTTCTAAGATCAGTGCAAAGATACACTAATGCCTCCCACACCTTGACTTCTAAGATATACTCTGGACTGAAAACATAAACAGATTCAAGTTTATAGATACATTGGTGGCAGAGATTTTATGTGTCAGATGGTTCACATTTATTTTCAGCCACTGAAAACTTGGAAAATGTAACGGTTCACTTCTAGAAAATGTCTGATAGAACCTCAGGCAGGAAATAAAACTAAACAATTAATGCTTACAGTTTTAAAAACTTACCATATTTGGGGATGTCAAAATATTATTTTGGAAAAGCAAGTTATAGGGTTTTTTCTTATTTTATACTCCTTGTTATAAAAATTCAAGTAATAGGATTCCTTGACATACTCTAATATAGTATTTTTGGGCCTTAAGCAACACTGTCAGTCTCAGTAATTTCCAGTTACTATTTCTTTATTCATTTCTACATCTCCTACCACCAATTCTAACAGCTACTGAAACTGAGAAGGGTAACAAAGAGATAAGGAGGGTAAAACAAGCAGAAAATAGAGACGTCCTTTAGTCTCACATATTGACAGAGGCCAGGCAGGTAACGCAGTGTTCAGGGACAAGGAAAAACAGTGGTGCAGGCACAGTGACAATTGCCGAGTGCCACTTGGACTCTGTGTCAGCAAGACAACGTTGGGGAACATGGCCAACAGAAGACCTTCCCTAAGTAAAGGTGAATTGGGTGCTTTTTCCCCATGTCAGGACAGGTCTCCTCTTTCTCCTCTTTTCCTTCTCAGAGTACCATTAATTCACATCACACAAGCAACTGACTCTTCATCCACAGACTCATGTTAGTGCAGCTACAGGCTGTCTGAAAGTGTAACCAAAGAAGTGAGACAGAATTGTTTGTTGCCTCCTATCTAGGCTCCCCCATCTCTCTCTTCCTCCCCACCAAACTAGTGTTAGTGATTATGCTCATCCTTGTCAATCCCCATGTTTTACAGAAAACAAATCCCCTCTGTAAGGCTTTGAGTTGTGTTGTACTGGATGTGTCTTTTGCTATCATAATGGAGCAGGAACATCTAGTACCTTATTACTGATCGTAAGACCTACTGATATATTCCGTTTTACTGGTCACAGCCTTCTGACATTATTATTAGAGAACTTTAGATCCCTAGTAAAATAACCATAGCAACATGCTCATTAATTTCCCCAGGTTAGCAAATTCTCTTATAGGAATTTACTAAATTTAGTTTCCAAAAATTAAGTTGCAAATCATGTATTTGAAGCTGGAACACCTTACCTTATAGTGGTTAAGTTTAAATGATAATGTGGTTGCAATAATACATTGAAAAAGCAGGATACAATAAAAATAGTATATAAAGTATGTATGGAATACTATTAGCCAAACAAAATACACAGAACAAGAAATTTTATTGTCTCAGATGCTGGTGAATAAACAATAACAAGCTTAATTAAAGGAGACAGAAACTTCAGAAATTTCTGGACCTTTAAAACCTTTATAGGTTGATGGCATAATTGTTCATAATATCTTTTTTCAATGTAGGACATTCCTTTTACTTGACAATTTCCACTTAACACTTCTTTTGTTATGAAGTTCAACCAGTTTTTTCCCTGTAAAGTTCAATGGAAACCAGAGAGCTAAAACAAAATTTCCCTAAGATATAAGAGTATTAGAAATAGTTTGTTTTCTTTGTACTTTTACATATATTTTTAACATCTGAATCTGAAAGTTTAATAAGGATTTCATTTCTGACTTTTAAAAAAAATGATCAAGATAATGAATTTTCTTGAATTACAGATCACAGTAGCTTTATTATTGATCAAGATATATGCACAAATACAATTTCAGATGCCCTTGGAAACACATTAAGACACGTTACACAAGATACATATTTCTTTCTGGGTTTGCTTACCCTTCTGTAATACTAAGAAGGTTCACTTGTCATACACTAAAAATTTAGCCTTTGATAACTATAGCTTGGACAGATCACAAAGTGGAACCTTCAAAGTTTTCTCAATAGGCTTTCTGTCCAAATAACTCAAAGATATCTGGTGTTTTAAGTTGGACATACTACTTTTCCTTTTGTAATTAGTATCGGTAATTAGCTGTTGTACTAGCAATTTGTCTTGGTCTTGACTTATTCTTGCAAAATCACTCCTTATGGTGATATATGGAATTTTCCCCAATGCAAAGAAAATATTCTGGATTGATAACAAAGTCAAAGCCATAGTGTTTCAGGATACTCTTGAAAACCAGTTTCAACAGTCCTAAGATCCTTTTTCTTTAACAGTTTTTTTTTTCTTTTTCCGCAACTGTACAGTCACTGCCTAGTCTATTATGCTAAACAGGAAAAAAACTTTTTTGAAGATCAACTTTTTAATTGGCACAGAACTATTTGAAATAAACCCGAGACAGTGGAATTTTGGGTCCCTCCTCAAGTAGTTTCCTCCTCTTCAACTGCATTTAACTATTCTCTATCAATAATCTCATCACATCCCAGTTCTTCAGTCAGACGATTAACAACCATAAGTGAAAAAAGCTCTTCGATAAAAGCCAACTGATCAAACGGGGTCTTCTCTTGATGCATCTGAAAACCACCATTCAGGGCTGATTCTCCTGTTCTGGATGTTCTCAGAAACATACTGTTGGCTTCTTCGAGGGCCGTTGATACTCTGTAGCCTGCACCATTCAGCTGCTCCTCTTCTGGATAGTTGTAGTCATCCTCCCAGTCATCAAATTCCTCACCCTCGCTCTCGAAGTCAGGGCCCACTGCCTGGCCTGGCTGCTCCCCGGGGCTGGGCCGCTTAGCAAGGCCTCGGTCGCCCTCTGGCCCCGTCACTGGCTGGGCCCCCTCCTCCTCCATTAGGCCGTCCTCCTCCAGCTGTGGCCGGGCCCGGTTGTGGGATGGATTCTGGGATGGCGCCCGGCCCGCACTGCCTACCTCCATCCGCCGAGGGTTACTCTCACCAGGCATCACATCCATCTGCAGGTCATTGCTTTCTTCATACAACTCGGACAACTGCTGCATTTCCGACATGGTATCAGATCTTGCAAGGCGTTTTCAGCTAGATCGGAGCGCTGCTGCCGTGTGGTTGTGCGCGTGCGCAAACGGCGTGCGCAACCCCCGGGCGTCTGCGTGACCCCCAGACTCCACCGCCCCCTCGGCGCGCCGCTCCGGATGGCGTCAGCTGGGCTCGGTGGTCCACGTTTTGTTCGGTGGAATTCGTATTTTAAGATTGTGCAAAGCAAGAGCGTCACTTTGTCTCCCCTCTACTTAACCGTTGTGCTGCTTATGATGCTACAAACCTGGAAATAGGTGCTTGCTGTAACTCGCTCTATCGTCCTCCTTCCCGTTTCCTTCCTCCCTCCGCCCACGATCGCGTCTGCTCCGGGTTTTAACTACCTGTTGTCTGTGGTAGTGGCTTCTGAATCCACACTTCCAAATCCCGCGGTGTTCTCATCCACAAATCAACATGTTAAGAGCGGATCCTCATTAGAAAAAGTTAAATTCATACCTAAGCATATACTGTCCGTGCTCTTTTAAAAAAGTCGTAGTGAGGAAATACTCGGTCTCACTTCTTTTCACAAGAGGTAATTTTCCATTATTATAAGTTTGGTGTGTATTGTTGAAGTCCTTTTTCTTTGCATTTACATAGATATTAAATTCTCACTGAAAAATCTAGCTTTTTTTTATTATGTCTCATGTAACTGTCTTCAACTTATAAAACAAACACCTCAGTGTTGTCTTGAAGTTATAGCTTTGTTAGTATATGTATTTTTTCATACCATCCCCTTTGTATACCTATGCTATGGTTGACCTGTCTGTAAAAATAATTTGTGATTTTTTAATATTATAAACTGGCTAAATGAATGTCCATGTTAGTCAATATTTCTCTAGAATAAATACCTAGAAGCAGAAAGGAGGAGTCAGAGGGTATGCATACTTTAGTTGTAGTAAATACTGTCAAATTGCTTTCCAAACTTGCTGTACAAATTTAAGTTCTAGCCAATAGTGTTTGAGAATATCCACACCCTAGCCACACATGATTGCACTGAACTTGACAGTTTTATCAATTTAATGTATTTTGCTTTAATTTGAATAATCTTAACTTCTTGAAGATTATTTTTCAGTATACTTATTGAACATTTGTATTACTTCTGAAAATTAACTGGTCTTATTTTGAGTTTATTTTTTTCTTATTGATGCATACAGATTTCTTATAAACTCTTACATTTGTTTTACATGTTGCAAATGTATTCTCCTTTACTGTTGTTTGTCCTGTTTAGGGGTCTTATACAAAAGTTTTAAAAAGAGTCTATATAATTTAATTTAAGGGATTTTTTGTATGTCTTTTTCTGTGTACTAAGATGGGTTTTTCCTGTCTCGAAGATCAGAAGCATAATCTTTTATCAGTCTCCTGGTATATTTATAAACCTTTTATGAATCAAACATTTATATAGATGATATGAAGACAGGGTTTATTTATATTTTCCCTTTGTGTGTGTGTGTATGTATCCAACTCCACAATTTAATCACTTATACTTTTGTCTGTTTGGTGCAACATTTACTGTAGACTAAAAATCCATGACTATATGAGTCTGTTTTTAGACTTCATATTCTAATGAATTTCTAGTTTTATAATATGCTTTGCTAATAAGGAAAAAGTCGAGTCTTTTTGTTCTTTAAAAATTTTTCTTTAGCTTTTTTTGCACATATATTGTTCCATGTGAATTTTAGAACAGCATGAAACATTCCTTGAAGGCATTGGTGGAATTTTTATTGGGATTGCATGGAAATTACACATTAATTTAGGGGAGAATTGACATCTTTACAGTATTATCTTCTAATCCATAAAGGGGATATATATCTTTTTACTTTTTACTTGTTCAGGTAATATTTACACCCTTTGACAAGGTTTTCCAAAAGTCTTTGAGCAATTCCTCTAAGATTTATACATAGGTACTTTTGTAAAATGTGCCTCCCTCTACCCTCCAAGTACAGTGTCTAATAGGCAGTTGCTGATGTACAGGAATGACATTGATCTGTGTGTATTGATTTGTTTTTAGTAATCAATTTAACTGAAATGTAAATAGAGAAAAGTGCACGTCAAGATTATCACGAAATGAACATACTTGTGTTGACTACTACCCAGATGAAGCAACACCATTTCTTCCCAGAAAACCTCTTGCCATCTCTTCTTTGCCCAGAAGTAACCACTGTCCTGACTTCAAGCAGAATAAAACAGTTTTGCCTGTTTTTGAACTTCGTGTAAATGAAACCATGCAGCCTGTATTTTTTTGTGTGTCTGGCTACTTTTGCTGAAGAAACATACTGTTGCTATGTGGTAGTTCATTGTTAATATCACAGCAGTCCTAGTTGGGACCGTTTACAGTTGTGCTCTGTTATGAAAAGGGCAGTGATTATCTTTCTTTAGCATGCCTTTGGTGCACATATTTACACAGTTCTGTTGGGCATGCATTCTTTTAGGAGTAGAATTGCCTGGTCATTTTTTCTAAGCTACTTTAGTATATTCTGTTAAACACCTGTGAAGAGGAGATTAGTTAATAGGTGCACAGTTGGTATTTCAATGAACCTTCAACAGTTTGACAAATACAGTATGGCAAATATATCTTTGAAAATTGGTCATTATACTTTGGGTATTGTAAACAAGTAATCCTAGAATATCAGGTAAAAGAGATAATCTTGGCTAAGTTAATGCAGTTTACTTGAATAATCTTACTTCATATTGGAAATCTTAATGTTAGTTCTTCAGGATACTTTTCATAGCAAATGACTGAAACCCACTAATTTATATAAAGATCCACACCAATTTATATAAAGATAAATTAATAAAAGAAAAAAGATAAAGGGAGACAAGAATTGTATTGGTTAATATGATGAAACAATGTTACCACCAGATTTTATTCTATTTTTAATTCTCAGCTGATTTTCTCCAGAGGTAAACTTCACTTTTCCAGTAAGGTTTTCCCACGTGTCAGCCAAAGACTCCCTAAAATTCTGGGCTTACATGGTCTTTAATGGCAGAGAGAGAGGTATCCTTTCCTTTTGTCCCTGTCAGTTTCTCCCCAGAGATACTGATTGGCTCTGATGTATTCAAGTATTTTCTGATTGGCTAGGCATGGATCATGTGTCCACCTGCAAGGAGAGGGCCAATGAGATGGGCATGTCAAACCCACCTGAATCTTAGGGTCAAAGTGAGATGATTACAGAATGTGGATGGAGTGGTTTCAAAGGATGCTGTCAAAGCCAAAATGAAACGTATGTCTGTTACTGTTAGATTGTGTGTAGCTAGGACTAGTTAATTTATAGAGTCATACATGTTTAATTTGTTATGTTTTCCAGATTATTGCAAATCATCATATGCAGTCTATTTCATTTGCCTCTGGAGGGGATCCTGTAAGTATGGATTCATAAAAGTTATTTTTATAAGAGGTAAAAGAAATTCCACATAAAGTGTACTAGCCACTACCTGTCCTTTTCAAATCTCTCATTAGAGTTTGTGAATTGCTACATGTAGCAGGTAATCAAAAATTTGGTTTTGACAAAGTGTGTCCTGTCACTGACTTTTAAAATATTTGGATTAGTAGTAGGTAAGCTAATAATAATACTCCATTGTGGTCATAGCTACAGAGTTATAATCTGAGGAACCTTCCGTAGATAACATCACAATCAGGAAAAACAAGTATGTCATACATGTGTTGCCGTCCTTCCTCAGAATTCTCCACACAGAGTTCCAGGCCGATGCTACTGATCAGTTGGATTTGGCATATGAGGGGAAGCTGATCTACTATACATGGCAACTTATTCTAATCTAGAATGAGCTACCAGGTTTGCAGAAACTTATGGAGGTAACACTCAGGTGGGAAGAAAACAGCGATTTCTCTTTCCCAAGAAGAGCAGTGTGTCTCTACCAAGAGGCCACGCGGTGCTCATTTCCCGTGAATGGCACTCTCTCTGCAAGCCTACTTTGCAGAGCAGAGGTTCATTCCCTGACTTGATACCACATCATTTCCAGACTAGAGCAAAAGCAGAGGGGTGTTGAAGCTATGAAGCCTGTGACCGACAAAAAATCTGTTTAAACTGAGGGAGTAGAGGGAGGACTTCGCTCCTCTGTGACATCGTGACATCTTTCTACCTGTGAGCATAGAGAAGGCTAGAGGAGGGCAGGGTCCGACTTTCGTAATGATTGAACATCAGTACGCCAGGAAAACACGGCAAATTTATGAAGTCCTTGTCCTTACAGTCTGTTGCCACCTTCTTTGCACTTACTTTTAAAGAGTATGTCCTTCAGAAATGAGGCAATGAAATCCACTTTAACAGTTCATTTTTTTCCTCCACCACACTTGGTTCTTTCTTCCAAATGAGGAATAAAGTTTGGGGCCATAAATGATGGGACACATATCTTAGAATCCCAAGAGAGGAAAGGAATGGTAGTGAAAGTTAAATCTGGCAGCTAGTGTCACTGCAGGGTTTTGATTGATTTTGATCTCGAGGCTAAATATTTAAAGGAAAAATAAATCTATCCTAAAAGCAAATGAAGTTCTGAAGTTTCTCTGTGTAAACATTGCTTCCTTTACCGACTTCTAATGTTTAAGCAAGTTCCTCCACTTGGACGTTGGCTTTTTTGTATGTGAAATACATACAGAAAAGAAGTTAAATACTATTTAAATCGCTCATTCTTTAAAACATTTCAGTAATTACTGGCCTCCCTATTGGCTACCAGTGATTCACAGTACTTAAACATGTCAAACCTGATCACCTGCTTTTAGAGCTTCCTTGAAACCTGTGGGAGAAAAGTGACCTTTAAAGGATTTTAAATCATTGAGTTTTTGTTTCTTTTATTAATGGATACTTAATTTTCCCTTTAGGCTTCACTACTTCCTCACCTTTCAGCGTTAGGTATGGTTATTTTCAAATGAACATTTTAGTTCCATGGTGCCACCCCTTAAAAATAAACCAAATTTTAGATTTCCACCTTTTCCCTAAGAGATTTCACAAATGGCTAATTGTGGATTCACTAGCAAATGGGACATGCAAGGTGCCTGCCGCTTAGCAGCTGCAGCGCGAGCCCAGGGCTGAATCTGAAGTCTGATC